AAAGGTGCCCCAGGAGACGGTCCTGCACTGGCAGGGAGAAGAACAGGTGGGCTTCATGTTAGACAGGACAAACTGAAAGCATACCCCTATTTCAGCAGTTTATTTTAATGCGTTTCTGCCATGTGCTGACACTTCTTTAGTTACTTTTCCGGAAGAGCCAGCTGTGGCTCATGACCGAGTCCTGGTCTGAAGTTCCCCACCTCTCCCATGAGCTGCTGGGCCGTAACGTCCTCTTCCCAGACTAGCTGCCCAGAGGTTGTGTGTGGAAACACCTAGTGTTTAGGCTTGTAAACCCGTCAGTGAGTCTAGCCTGACACCTCTCAGGCAGGTTTTACTATAGACCTGCAACTCTTTGGCCATTTTCCTGCATCCTGATCCCTGCTTTTAGCCTCTCGGCTTTTATCCACCGTCTTCCATATCTTCCCCAAAAGCCTTCCTGCAGTTTTTTTGATTTCCCTTCTCTGCCAGAGAAAACAGTCTGGAAAAAAAAAAAAATATCGGAGGAAAGTCTGCTTGGAAACTTGCCTCCACGAAATGTCCAGAAAGCACTCCTAGCAAATCCCGGGAAGGTCGGAAGTGAGTGCAACCTCCTGAGTTTTATATGACTAAAGCAACCTTATACCAAATGCATTTTCTTCACCCTGTGTGCCTGCTGCACCTCAACCCAATAAAGATTGCAAAGCCTTTTTTTTTTTCAGGATTTGATTTTTAGCAAGCAGCTCAGTAATATTTGCCACAACAGGTATCTGTTCTCTTACAGTGTTCTCCACAAGGAAGGTACAAATGAGGAGCAGATGGACAGCCCTGTCTTTGTCACCAAGAGGATACTGAGCCTTGAGGGTGAAGCATTACCACAACAGTTTCATTCAGGGAACGTAGCCAGAGACGAGGACTTGTAGACCTGGGTTTTTAAAGGTGTGTGATTAATATGCTGCAGTGGCAAATGGCTTAGTCTCATTCTCTGATGCGAATTCAGGATCCTAAGTTCTAATTTCACTGAAAACTGGGCCTTCAAGAGACAAAAACACTTAAATTGAGATTGAACTTTCTTTGTTGACTCCAATTCACTTTTGGTCCAGCCCTCTAAATACCCTTTCAAAATACAGGTCAAGTTTCTATAAATCGCTTTATGGTGATCATGAAGTGAAGGTGGGATATTTATTATCTGTGTCATAAAATAACAGTGATAGTAAGAGCAATAACTTCAATTTTATTGCTTGATAGAAGGTATTGCAATCTGAAGACGATGCTAGCTGATGATAATGTTTCTACCACCCTGCAGTAAAACTTGTTTTTCTGTCCCCTTCACCCAGGGTGAACCAGCTTTCACTGAAGCAAGAGCGTGCTGATGTGGCGTGACTCCTTGTGCCTCCAGTTCATCCCCGGGACTGCCGAGGACGCTCATGGCCCTTCGCGGCAGGTTAGGAGGAGCAGCCTCTGTCGGAAAGCCACTGCAGCGGGAAGAAACTGTCGCCTTGTAAACGCCAGCTGGATGTGACCGCAGAGACACAGCAAGCCAGTATTTCCTAAACCTTATGTGATGGCAACTCCTGTTTGGGCGGGTGGTTGAAGTTGGAAGCTGTATGGGAGTCAATGCAAATTAACGAGGTGCCGCCCCTTGGCAGAGCTGCGACACCTGATCCTTAATCCTTTCTTCCTTGTGTGCAGGGCACAGACGCCCACAAACTTTGCAGCTGAGAGGCAGAGAGTACCTAGGCTCAGTTAACTTCACCGGTCCTGCTGGGTGTCAGCTGAGCAAGCCACCATAATGTCATCACTTGCTCATATCCTTCAGCTCTGCCTTATCTTGGCAAAACAGAGGTAAAAGGGTGACGTGATACTCTCCCTGAGAAAACGATCTAGCATGCATAACGCTCCGAGTGCAGCAATTATCATCTATGTATGCCCCTCTGCATACCCTAATCTATGTATTCATAGGTATGACATGTATGTATGCGTGGAGATATAGATGTAAAAGAGGTATAGATATCACCTGAAGTTGTGCCTTTACTATGTTTTATCTAGTGCAGAATTCATATTTTCTGTGCGGAGCCTTCATTGTAGAGAGCGACAAGCACTATCACACAAAACTCACTCTCCTCTGCTTCACATGGATCCTCAGCGCAAGCAAGGTCGCTGCAAACAGGCTTGACTGTAAGCTGCAGCGTCACAGAGGTTAAAAATTTTAAAGCTCATTGCAAACTACATGTAAGCAAGATTCAGAGCCACATAGAAAGTGGGGTTTTTTTTCATGTCCTGAGGATCAGAAAAATAACCATTCAGTTCAGATAGTGCACTACATTCTTAATTCAAATTTCAGGGTAACTTTTTTTTTTTTTTTAAATCTGTGACAAAAAGGCACAGAGCACCGTGCTAAACTCCTTAAATGAATGAACAGGCTAAGCTCTTCTATATTTGCTACAGCCTACTGAAAATGCTACCACAATATGAAGAGCAACATCCCTGCCGAGTTAACTCAGTGCTGCATTTCGGCTGGTTCTCCCCAACTCTCCTCTCCAGTGAAGTGTGGTGCGAAAGCGGCCCCACTGGGAAACAGCATTCGGCTGCCCTGTGTCCATCCCAGACTTGTCTACAGCGGTTAGGTTTCTGGGTAAACAGCGAGTGCTGCTGTAATCTCAGCCTCCCTGCGAATCCTTTCACAGCGAAGTGGCGGATGATCCATGGAGGATGATCCACCTGCCTTTTCCATGATCCCAGGCAAAAACGGTGGCAGCCACATGAACTAACAAGTCTCCAGCCTGGCACATGCGCTACAGCTGTGGGTCCAAACACACATCCAGCCCATGGGCCTGTGTCAAATATCGGCATTAACACAACCATTATTCTGGTTGTGGGTGTCAGGTGTCAGGGCTCAGGTCCCAGTGGCAGGGATTTCAGCTGCACCTTTGTGACGTGGGAAGTCAGGAGGATAGTTTGCATGGCTGGATGAAGAGTCCAGCTGATCTGGATTTTTAAGGGCAGGAGGAAACCCCCTCTTGAGCAGGCCGGTGGTTTTGAAGCGGGAGCAGAGTTCCCAACCCGCGCTGGTACTCATAAGGCAGCTTATGGGAAGTACGGCCTGGAAGAGCTGTGAGAAGGCATTGGAGAGTGGGAAGCACTTGACTGACATTACCGTTTATCGTAATAGCCACGGATTAATTGACACTGATTTGTGCTGTTACCTACACAAGCAGTTTTGGTGCAGTGTAAGTGGCTGTAGCTGAGGACTGGCGGAAGTTTCGACTTTAGCGTGGTTTTGCTTGGAAATGAAGACTATTCCAAATCACTCGTTAAATGAACGCTGTCCTTAAGAGAGGCAACATCTAACCTTACTTATCTTTGCTCTGACATAAAAGCGACCCACCTTAGCAAAATTCTGCCCAATAATTTTTTTCTGAGATTGGTTCCTGATGTTGACCTTCTGGTAGATCCTCAAGCTGAAAGCAAAAAGAGCTTCACAGATCCTTTGAAAACTAAAGAAGCACTCATGGTGATGGCAGCTTGGAATAATTGTACTTCATCAGAACGTGTGGTGGTTTTGTACCAGTTGCTGCTCTTTATAAATACTCCAGTTTGTTGTAAATGAACATCTGCCACATTTGGACAAGCACAAGGCACAAAACTACAGTGTTGAGAAAGCAGATGTGAAATATTGCATGAGTTACTGTAGAGCTTGTATGAGATGTAATGTGGGGCTGGGTATCACACACATAGGTGCAGCACAGGACAGGACGAGATGAAGATGACTCTGTGCTTTCAGGGCTCCAGGCCAGTCAGAAATCAAACCTGCCTCTTCTAAGTGGGAGACATAAGGCTCAAGGGCACTGCCAAAAGCACCTGTGAGGAGCCTGGAGCTGTGGAGAGTGTCTACAATGGTGACAGCTGATGCCCTTTTCATCTCATCAGACAGCTCAGGGTTTGCAGACTACCTGCAGCAAACCTACCCAAGCAGTATGTTAGGAAGAAGTTTTATTGCATTGCCTGCAGAAGTCCTACAGCTCCTCCTGACTGCGACAGGGAGATAAAGAGCTCCAAATATGGTGGCATTCATAGGCAAGTAATGTTTTGCTTGTTCATTTTGCTACACCCCTCTCAAAAATTAGAGGTATACTCTCCAATTCTTAAGGTAAATTTTTGCATTGGAGGTAGCAATGTTTGGACCTAAAATCTGTGTTGGTACTTTTGAAAAATTTCAGCTAGCATCTATTTGCATTTTTTGATGTCTAAATATGCTCAAAAAACTGACTCTAGGCTTTTCTGCATAGCTTTAAGCACTGACACTTTTGAAATTCAGTTCCAAAGTCGGTAAATATCGCTGGAAGAAAGAAGAGAATAGCAACAACTGAACTTGGTGACAAGATTTTCTGCACGCCTGTGTCCTTTCTCTGGCATGATCTAAGTTTGATTTCTTTCATTTCGTATCACAAAATTCATTGGCGATATCAGAGTGCAAGCTAGAAATTTTTCAAAGGACTATTAAGAAAGCCAAGGCAGCTGGATAATACGTTAAAGAAAGAAGATCGAAATCCAGCAAAAGGAAAAAATGCGCGATTAAGTAAGTATGTTTTTCCTTCAACCTTTTAACAGAGAATTAGGGATGATGATTATGTTTTGGTTTTTTTTTTTTTGATGAAAGACGGGTACAGAAGATGTCTTCCAGAAGCTCATAACAAAGTGCGCAAACTGTTCCAAGTTCTAACGCGCAATGAATGCAGCAGTTCAGTATGCACTCCAGAGATTACAGTGGCAAATAAACGGTGCAGGAAGTTTCTGCTTCCCTCCTTAAAGTAGGTTCAAGATTATAAGTTAATCTTAAAAGGAGATTATGAGTATCTCAAAGAGTTAATGAGTATCTTCTAACTGCCTACTTCTCTTGATTGTCCAAAGGCCAATTGATCCTGAAGTGTATAAAACACTGACGCATGAAGATGGGAAGCACGCGAAGACAGTAAGCAAACGAACAGCTGTCAGGGGCTTAAGTGCTGTGTCTGCTGGCAATGATGCCAACAACTGTTTTTTCCTTCATTCGTTTTTTCGTCCTCTTACTCAGTTTCTCCGCTATTTGTCTGGGAGCGTTTTGCATTTCCACACGCACTGCGCTGGCTGTTTATTGTCTGTTACCTCTGGGGTTCCTGCTCCTTGTGACTGGCATTTTCTGGAACGCTTTCCATGAAGCCATCAAATACAAGGGCCTCAGCAGCATCTTCAGTCGAAATCCCAGCCTTAGAGAGCTACATGTCAGCACCATAGACAGGTATGTGTTACGGTACGGCTACCTGTGGATAGAGTTGCTGTTTTCTAAGCATGCTCTGAGAAGAAAGCAGCAATGCAATGATAAACAAATTGCAGCCATTTCATTATATTTGCATGGAGAGACCCGTCTCCCAAAATTTTACTTGCAAGAGCAAGCAGCCGTCTGCGCAATATAAAGCAGCGCGTAAGAGAGACTTCTGAAAACACTACAGGTGGCACAGAGCGGTCCGAATCCATTCTTGGAGAGAAGAGATGCAGCTACATTGACTTCAGTGGCGATCCTACAGGTGCATCATTACTAACATCATCACAGACGAATCAAAAATCTGCTGCTGTGGGATATATTTTTGTACTGCTTATTCTTGCCACACTGCTCAGTGATACATAAGGCCTGCAGTGAGCTTCAGTTCCCTATACGGTCCTTGCCAAGGTTTTCTTTTTTTTTTTTTAATAAATGTCCCTGCTATTTCTGAGCAAAGTCTGATGCTTTAATCTAGATTGCTTCTTAAACTGATCGGCACTGTGCCTGACAAAGTTTTTAACAGGGTCACTGGATGCAAGTTACTTTTCCTCAGCTGTTGTAGAAACAGCACTATAAACACAGACAATGGGTGCTCTAAGAGCTCTGTAAATGCAACGTACAGCAAATATTGCTTAGATAAGTAGGAACATGCAAAGCGCACTTTAAAAATGAGGAAAATAATGACTATTAGAATACCGATTTAATCTACCTCAGGCAGTAATGCCTCTCCTTTTCCAAATAAACTTTTCTTCAGCACTTGTTGAAGTACATACAAGAGTGAGTGTTTGTACGCCACAGTTGGAAACTCTGCTAAGGAAGGCTCTTCTTTCTTCGAACTCTGTGTTTTAATAGAATATTTTGGAAAAAAGATGCAGATAATCATCCCAGCTCTTGCAGCTATTCTATATCAATAACTTCCATTGGTCTAATCCTACCAGGTCAGGTCTCCATTTACAGTTTAAGCCTCAGCTAAGCTATGGAAACATAGCAGACACAGTGTCTAACCGAGCTCACTCAGATAAATCTCATTTCACCAGCATGTGCTTTATTTTGGTTTGCTTATGTTTTATTTTGATTCACTTATTTTTTCAGACCTGATTTCTACCCTCCGTCCTACGAAGACAGCACAGACCCAGAAAAACAGACCTTCCCCCTGCCAGTTGCCTCCACATCAAAAGGGGAAGAGGTGTCCCAGCTCCCTCCACCTCTGTACACTGAAAGCAGCACAGAGTTCATCAACGAGACCAGTGAGCAAGAGGATCCACCACCATACAAGTTGTCTGTGCAGGAGCCATGGCAGCAGCAAACGCCGGGGCTAGACTCAGACCCTGGAACCGGATCAAATACTCACGCGCCCACACAAGAAAACAGTTGCTGACAAGGTTCAAACTGCCATGGGACCTAAGAAAGAGCAAAGCCGGCCAGAAATTCTGGGACACAGTCAGTGAGTAAAATCCCAAGTTTATGAAGTGGGCAGAGGTGGAAGAAGATGGGTGTCCGCACTCCCTAATAATATACCCCCTAGAGCAAAACTGCCTAGGAAAAGCATTGATCACCTCTGTGTTTCAGAGGAGTTGGAGGCGTCATGTAAAAAGGTCTTGGCCTTTTAAAACACAGCAAGGTTTGCAGGCTTGCAGAGGGCTTGCTGAACCTATGAGGTGCCACCCACGATGCTGACTTAACACTTGTTTACATAGGAGTATATTCTTTTGCACAAAACTCTGCGTAGCTGCCTTTCTTTAATCTAGAGCTCTGGCAGTATTCTGAAGTACTGAAACACAAGCAATAATTTTTACAAAAAAGCAGAAAAAGGTATCCACTATGTTCAGGGAACTAGATGGAAAGACGCATACGAGAGAAGATATGCTTTGCTGTTACTGCACAACCTATGGGACACATTTACCTGAGGTTGGTGTTTATGCTATATGGTGTTTATATATGTATAAGGGACAGCTCATATCCCTCCCTCCACATGTAACTGTTTGCTGCTTTGATAGTCTGTCCCTTAAAATTATTGGGGATAATTGCATATTCTTCTGGAAGAAATTTAAACTGGCATGATAGCCAGAGAAAGTTCCTGTTGAAATTAGTGAGAAATCTTGTATTGGTTTCATTAGAAATTTGATATTTGTGCCATTGATATTAAAGTGATTCTATCTGAAATGCACCATGGGCTTTGCTACTGAATCAGTATTGTCTGAGATTTTCAATTGAATAAGGAAAGATGTATACAAGACAACTTACCTGATAAAATCAACTGATATACTGTGTTGCTCCATGACTTGTCCTCAACTGTAAAAATAGTTTAGTGTTTTGTTACTGAAAATGACTCTCAGTGAAAAATCCAAGTAGGGTTTTTTTTTTTCCCATAAACAAAAGCTCTTTTTTATCTGCCTCTCAGCCCTCAGAGATATTCCTTTGAGACAGAAACTACCATACTGTATCTTACAAAAGTCACTAGCAATGAGTGGGAGTCACTTCTTGCATTGCAAGATAAATGCAAGTGATGGAGCTTCACGCTGCTGTTGACCTTAAACCTCTTCTGTCTCCAAAGGAGTTTTGGCCAACAGTTCCTCATCTGTTCTTTGTAGCATTAGCTGACCTGGGAAACCTATTAACTCGTTTGTATCTGTTCAGAATTTGTACTATTATTTGTAGTAATTGAATATTTTTGTATCGTAAGTCATTGAAGCTACTTGTTTTGTTTTGGTGTGGTAATGGGTATTTTATTAGTGCATTCATGAATAAATTTTTTATTTAGAAACAAATGCTATTTGTTTGCTTATGATACAAGGTGTCCATGACTCAGGCTAAGCAAACTAGAGAATCGCAGTATCAAATACAGTTCCTAAATGCTAACAAGACCACCCTGGTTATGCCCACAACTTCTCAAAGGGAGCTAGCAATTGCAGCTGGAAAAACCTTTTCTGTGCCACTCCTCTGAACTGTCTTTAAAAGTAGCTGCTTCCTCTGCAGCTTACTCAAGAGCATTAGGGCCTGAAAAAGGAGTCCTGAACTCTGTTTCTGATACAAGTGGCCACATGTTTAGGGAGAGTGCAAGAAAGAGGATGAGAGTGCAAGAAAGAGCCTTGGATTGACCCTTCACCCTGGTCTCCTTCCTTCACAAATCACGGAGGCAAATCTGCCTCCAGCCCCTTGTAGTCTGAAATGCCGGATGACAAAAAGAATTTCGCCGAGGCTCACCCAGGTTCGGACCTGCAACGCTGACTGTAGGCAGAGTTCTGCTCTTCCTTGCAGAAGCGGCAAGATCAGAAAGTTATCAGACTTTCTGGATGACCATACGTCGTTAAGTAAGAACTATTTCAAAATTAAGGCTTCATTTACATTAGAAACGCAAGCCAGGGTGGTGGTGGTAATAGTGGCTGAGACCATGGATAAGACAATCAAATCAGTTCTGTCTTCCAAAAATTTTCATCCTCTATGAAGGGGAGGATACAGTGTAGACAGAAAGGACAGGAGGATAAAATGACCTGGAGAAACTACAGAGAAAGGCAAACAAACAGAAAGAAAGAGAAGGAGCAGATGCATATTAAGAAGAAAACAACCACAGGCTAAAAAAGAATCTCTGAAAGAGAGGAAAGCTGACAAAATGATGTCATCATCATATACCCAGTTTTCGAAGTGACTGAGAAGCTGTGCAGCACAGAAGAGAACAGTAAAAGCTAGGGGAACGTTACATATTATTTCCAAAAGAGCTGAAGTGAGTGTCTCCTATGCCAAGAGATCTCAGTAATGCCTTACTCCACAGCACTACCATATCTGCAGCCAGAAGTGCATTGCTCCAGGGCCCAGGACCCTGAAGGGGTACAGGTATTGGCACAGGGATCAATCACAGCAGATGAGCCTGATTAGCCAGGAGACCTCCAACGACAAAATTCTGGTCCTGTGGAAGTTGGTTGCTTTTTTGCTGTGCGTATCCACATTTTCCTCCACAAAACTTTTAACGTGAACCCATGTTGGTGGGAAATAATGAAGACTACACTTAGCTCAGAGGCCAAGCACTGCAGTGGCTTTTCAGTGATCCCATGTTTTTGTTTGAAGACTTAGTGGCTTTCAGTATGGAGGAAGTGTTTTGCATATACAGAACTACTTCTTTCAAGCTAGATCATATGCATGATCAGGAAACTGAAAGATACTTCCTGCTCCAAAGTATCCCACCAGCAGAGACCTAAATTCATAGCTCTGCTTTATGCAAGGTCTAGGACGACTCCTTTCATCCAAAAGACTCATGAGTCATATGAGCCTTTTGCATAAATAAGGTCTCCAACAAGAAGCGACTTCTCTAGTCCCCATAGTGCACGGAGGACATGGCAACTAGCCACTTTTTTAGGAGCTGTCTTTTCAACATTTATGTAAGGTGCTTGGAAGGATGTTCTTTTACTGAGTTGCTATAGGAAATGCGATGCTGACTCTCTCCACACAGTTAATGGACAGCCAGGAAGAGCTAAACCCATCTTCCTTTTCCCCTCCCACAGCAGTCCTGCAGTGCCCCTTCTTAGCTCCAGTCTTCTCAGATGTTGCGAGGGCTTAACGGATCCAGAAATGTGAGAGTGAAGAAGATACCACGTCTTCAGTCAGCAATATGTATGTATTTGAGACATGACGGGTCTTAAGATAGGGAGAAATTTCAGGTTAAGACCGAAATATTTCACTTGATTCAGTTTGTTTTTCAGTTTGTCTTTTCAGCTCCATTAGCTATTTGGCTATGAGCTTGATGGAAAATAGTGTGGGCGATGATTAGCTCAAAAATGTCAGCAATTTTAAAGCGGGGAAAGCTTTTAAATGGTTTGGGTTGCTCAGCCCTCCTAGCATAAATGCGTCTTTGGCATGCATAGCCACTGAAAGGTTTTAGATTAAAAGGAATTTTCTTTTTCTAAAGGACCTGAACAAATCAAAATAATGCTTCAGAACAGATCAGGTGAGTGCTATTGCCTTCCAAATTGTCTTCAAACACAACGTACTTCTCATCCTGCCACTAACCTTCCTACAGAAGGGCATTCTTCACAAAAGAAAATGTCAGTGATATCCATTTAGCTCTGTTGACAGGTGAATTTGCTGATATTTTGTAGTTTACCTTAAGCCACATTATGCTAAAGAGCAGGAGTTAGAAGTCTGTGTGGTAAAATGCTTACCACCACACTCCATGCTTGAAACTACCCTGAATAGTTTGTTGCTTCCAGTCACCTTAGCATAATTACAGTCTTGTATCATTTTCAGTAATTTGGTGTCAGCTACTGTGCTTTCGTCAATGTTTTGGAGAGTTATGTCAGAGCATCCTTTCATATTATCCCAAGTGTGGGTTTATTTCCCCTCAGATTCACCTATTATTTATTTCAGATCGTGAAGGCAGTTACTACACTACACTGTCAATATAGGTGAGACTGGAGTACAAAAATTATAGACAGTAGGACATAGCTAAACACAGTAACACCCAGTCTTGTCTAATTTTCTTTAACATCGCACATTCTTAAATCTTTCTCAGACTATACCACCTTTTTACTTTTACTTCCTTTTTCTCCTTTTCTAGTTCTCCAATCCATCGTTGCGCTATTGTATCAGCATTCTTCCATCTGTTCCTCATTATCATCTCTTTTCAGCCGAATACAGCAATTTATCCTTTACAGTCCTATCCTCTCCACCACTTGCTGCCTCTTTCTTTGCTCCTGGGACCCACCCTAGCCCCATCTCGGTCAGCGCTCTGCTAAGGCTCCTTGCTATTGTTATCGCTCTCATTGGTCTCTGGGAATTCATCTTTGTCCTTTTTCTCCCTCTGCCTTTTTCCCCAGCCTGCAGGCTGGGAATACGTCTTTGTATTGTGGGGTGCAGAAAAACCTGAGTTTTTGCAAAACGGAAGGGCTGTTCAAGTAAATACTAGCGTGATCAGAGCTGAACAGCGTGGGAACCTTCCAACGTCCAGACCTGATAAAACTCCTAATCCAACAATAACAGTGAAGGAGCCTGGGTTCTCTGTCCCAGCTCCTAGACACTGTGGTAGGGCAAACAGTATTAATAACAATTTTCCCTCTGCTAGATATATGCTCTCTTTTTGGGAGCCTTGCATCTTTGTATAAGCTGATGTGTGTTGCTTTTTTCACTCACTTCATGAATGTCCAAGTATTCTCCTCTTACGTTAGCAACTAAAACATCTTGGTGCATGCAGGACACTTAATGAGATTACGGCTACAGTCCTTCCCTGAACACAACAAACTGACTGTTTGCAGTATCAGCAACAGTGACTTGCTGATAAAAGCACTAGTATACTTTTTGACAGTTCTGATTTGCTCCTCATGAGTCTTCCCACGGCATCTTGAAAAACATTTAGATTCTGAAAAGCAAAACACGCTGAGAACGCAAGTCCCACATTAACTCGTCAAGTGCAATGCTTGCTATTGTAACAGTTTCATTACCAGAGAACTTGTAAGAGATTTTGGAAATTCTTGGACTGTCCATTTCACAACGCTCATTCATGCAGGACAGTAATTTGAATCAAAGGGCTATAATCCAGGGCAAGTTTATGCTTGACTTTGTGTAATCCCCTACAAATAAGACAGACCTTCCTACCCTGCACCTAGAGGAATGTGACCTATGGGGAAAATAAAAGAAGATTACTATTTCTAGGCAAACAAGCTTTCTGTAAAGATGAGTACTCTTACATTCAAAAGCAGATGTCCAAATGGTGTGAGAAAGTAGAGATCTTCCCCAAAAAATCTGCATAAAAAGCACTGAAGCCTTAAGCAGTCGTTTGGCATATAAGAACATTTAATGGTAAAGTGAAATACTATGTGAAAACATTAGCGTGTCGTCTGTTTAGAGTCAATTAAGTAGATGGTGTAATTGTCTTAAAGGCAGTTTTATTAGGATGCTTGAAAGCGCAGTGTGTTTTGTCAGCAATTACGTATTAAGACAGAAATACAGCATTCCACTTTATTATGTACTAAATGTCAGAGCAATTTTTGACAGAAATATTGAAAGAAATGAAAACAATATTTCCTTCACTGCGTTATCTAAATTGCACTAAAAATTCAACAACTGCACTGAATTGAAACACACTGCAAAGAGGCAGGTTGCACAACGCCACCTTGACAAATGATACAAGTGACCACACCGTTCTCAAGGAAGCAAAACTTTCAAACAAGTCACATGCATAAAGTGTTTGTGTTCTTGTTCAGAGCAAAGTACTGTAGCGAGAACTGCAGTATCATTTCACAAGCAGAAAAACACTGGTGTCCATACCCTCCATATCCTTCTCAGAGTTAGGCTGGGGCATCTCTTCTTCCTTTGCACTCCCCAACTTTTTGTTCCTATTATATGATCCTATGTGATTCGTATTGTAAAGAATCTAAGAGAAGCTGAGTCCAGCTGGTCAATTAGCCAATATTTCCATTTAATTCGATAGCGTTTGTCTCATTCTGCCTTCATCATACACGCATTTGTGGTAAGTGGAACTTGAGAATTCCAAAGATTTAAAAAAATTCCACCGTAACTCCTTTATGAAGGATTACTGAACTTGCAATGATTACCCTTCAAGCATAGTAAACACTGATATGATCTGCTGACATGAGGAATATTGCAAAAGATAGCTGGAGTTCCACACCCAGCATATTGCTGGAAGGACACACTCAGCTTCTGTAGCACAACTGCTTCCCCTTGGAGAAAAAAGTGATTCAAAATCAGAAAAAAAGCTGAAGGCACAAGTCACATTGATATGTTTTCAAAGCAGGGGTTAAAAAAAATGAGGGATGGCCCTTTTCTTTGGGAGCAAGTGCAAGTGTGTACACAACCACTGCTGCCAGCGTGTCTCTGTGAGCAAAGGTGTAGACAGGAGAGGAGTGGCATCAGGTTAGCAAATACACCCTTACGAAGCTTAGTATACAGCCCTTAGGCCCCAGACATGCTCTGTACATGTCTTTGTAAACCAACAAGAAGGTGACAAGAATCGCAAGCAATGCTCACCAAACATGTCTTTTCTTTGCAACCCCTCCCCCTCTCTGCCTAATTAAAAATTCCCCAACATTTGTCATAGCATTCAAGAAGAAGCAGTTCACCCTTTCTGTCACGCTGTTGACAACATTTGAGGGTAAGGCCTTTTTCTTTGGTTATTTTGTTATCTAAAAGAAAGTTATTGCAGGTATAACACAGAAGTCAATACACTACTGTCTTTGGAGATCAATGCAACTGAATATGCTGAATATTATATTGAATTTTTCTCCCCACCCTCCCTCTATCCCCAAGAAAACTTTTTGAATCATACAAGGCACAAACAGTGAACATGTTTCAGCAAGGTCCTGTCTCTTCCTTGCTGTTCCTCTTTTGGCCCTGGTTTAATGATCCTTTGTGGCTTCAGGTGATGACAGTGGGTCCCTTTCGCCCTGTCCTCTCATGGATCTGAGATATTTTCAGTGCAATTGCTATAAGAGGACTCAGCACAGCCTAGAAGAGAAGAGATACAGTGAGTTATATAAGGGTGAAAAATCAACAAACATCTAATACTTATAAATCCCCCTTCTTAACTGTAGAATTGTAAAATAATAATAGCAAATTATTGTGCATGTTGTTCTGTTATACTTCATATAACCTAGTATTAGGCTGAGCATGTATTCTGTGAAGTGTTACACTGCGTATAACCTAAATTATGCATAAAGAGAACCAGTAAATATAATGATAATGTGACAGTGCAACAGTAATTGTGGAGATCTTGTGAAATCTGCTTATTTCTATTCTAATGAGTGGAAGCCACGTAGATGAGATTTTCTTACCATACAAGCTTAACCTACGGAGTTCAGGGTCAGAACATACCGTGACAATTATCTTAGCAGAAACCACAAAAAGGTGGTTTGAGCACCTGAAATTGTATTAGATGGGATAAAATCCACAGAAGTAATATAAATTCTCAAGTTTCAGGCGACACAGCTCACTGAATGACCTGTATACATGAAATACTGCCTAGACGGATGAGTGCAGATAATAACTATGCTAGTACCACATGAAGGCCAAGTAAAACATAATTTTTTCAAGTGGCAACTGAATTTTCTCTCAATTAGTTCTAGGAAATGCCAAGATAAACAGGCAGAGCTGGGTTTTGTGTGGAAACCCTTTTTTTCAGAGGATCAGATTACCAAACTAGTAACAATTTTCTGACTTTCAAGATTTTTTCCCTCTCTCAAATAAACTACATTCTGGTTTATCTATCTTTCTATCAGGTTTTAACATAAAATACAATAAAACTAATAATTCTGAAAAACTTAACTTTTCAGATACATTTTTATAATCTTAATATAGTCAATACGTTGAATCCGTTTCCGCACCTAACAGTTTCTGACAGACTGAGGTGTCTGGATTATCTATGCAAATGGCTGGATGCTTTAATAAAAGTAACGGGAAGACAAACTAACTCTGCAAACAGAGCAATGAAACAACATTAGTTGTTTCATTCAGTTTGTGCTGTGCCATTGGTGTCAAGTGAGTTTATGATCAAGTTCAGTTCACAGTACAACTGTGAACGCTTTGACATGTTATTATTCGAAAAGCTCCGTATCTGTAGATATGTATTTACTGAATAATGGTTGAAACAGAAGACAAGTCCATTAAAGTCAAACGTACTTAGTGGAGATTAATATCTGAAGCAAAAATAAGAACATTTTTGGGCAGATCCTGCAGAAGTAAATAATAAAATGGGCCAATTTATAAGGTCTGGATCATATAATTCCTTTCCTCCAGCATCACGGATTAAGGAGAATTGAAAAAGACCAAAGCATCTGAACTCCCTCTGGGACTCTCTCAGAGTTCTCTTCCCCGTTCAATTTGAAAAGAACAGGAAAATTTAACAAGCAGTCCTACTGAACCAGCTTTACTTGGCATTGCTTCTTAAGCAACAAAAGCACTCTAAAGTGAAAACAACGAAACAAACAAAACCCTGCTCAATGCTTTGAAGAAGAATCAAATCGGATTAGTCAGGTTTGTGCCACAGCTGTTCACCTAAGTATTTTAGAGGCTTTTCTTTTGCCAAGTGGTTCCAAATACCATGAGAACACTCTAGCCTCCTTTTCGCACTTACTATAATCGAACTTGTAAAGACAGAGAGTCCTATCTTTAGTTATGTCCTGGCACACTTCAGTTTAACGATACTTCTCATCCTGCAGATGTAATAAATAAATAAATAAATAAATTTTTTAAAAATGCATATATTCTCTTTTTCTCTTTGAAGTTACAAGGTGATAAGAGAAGAGCAGACTAACAAGGGATCTCTGCAATGAATGGCTTAAATTTCAGTTCTGAAAGAGAAACCACAGTCAGTGGTCACTTATATTTAATATGATTCTAGAAAGAATTCCGTACCTTAAGGCCATCTCCAGTTAAAAACGTTTTTCAAATGCTTCTTTCTACTTAATAAATTGTACAACTTTACTAATGGTATATCAAGTTAAAATGGCAATTGCCATCACTCTGTACACTTAGTAATATATTTAACCCTAAGGTATGGCACGTTCTCTGCTAGATAATATTTGAGAAGGGAACTGTAAATTATCAAAATTATTGGCTTTGATCCGGATTTTACTTTAGTAAGAATGCTGAGAAATTATAGCCTCTACAGGCTATAACTAGGCTATAGAAGTTATACTTCTAAATAAGTAGCTGATAAGGATGATCATTCACACCAAGAAACACATTAAACATGGAGACATCTAGCACATGGCAAAGAAATATCAAAAGCACTTTGCTTGGTAATATTCTGTACCGGAGCTATGAGAGGAATATCTCTCTATCCCGGCTCATGTAGCCTTTTTCCTCTCTGTGGCCTTGCAAGAAAATTCCCTCCAGCTCCCTTTCGCCTCGCCACGTTCACAGACAAGATTTGCCCCACGAGGCAGCCTGTTTACCAAAGGCTCAGGTCTCAGGTGTACCTGATCGTGGGTTAAACGCTCAGGAGGTGTCCGTCCGGGGTTTGGCTTTAGACAAACATTTCTCTCAGTCTCGGTGGCTGAATAACATCTGTATGTCAAGGAAAACCTTGTGAAAACCTACCATGTGAGAGTGGTGGTTTCACTTATGCTACAACTTGACAACTTTCATCACAAACTGATTCAGTTCTGACACAAAATCATGACATGTCCAGACTTGCTTGGAAAGCTAGTGTCTGTTAGACCTCTCTGAGGTCTACACTGAATTTCAGTCTTTTTAGGAAAACTAAGCGTAGCTGAGTTTTATACAGTTTTGGAATAGATATTTTCCACAGGTCTTAAATTCTCTTTTCTCAGTTCAATATAAACCTCAAAAACAAGTTGCGACATCAGTTTCATCAATAAAAACAATTCTGCAGAGCTTATCTGGAAAAGATAAAGTAACAAAAGCTCAGAGAACGACAACACCCTCAAAATAGGATCCAAAGTATTTTAATGAACATCAGATAACGACAGCTATCTTGTGCAGTTCTCCAGCTTTTATTCTGTCTTCTCTTAACAGTATAGGTCTGAATTTGCATACAGCATCCTGCCAACGTGTTGTTATGGACTCTTCTCAGCTCAAAATGTACCCAAGTGAACAAACAGGGTGGAACACTAAGAACACAGGACCAAGTGATTTGTATATACGTTGCTATTTAGAAAATATTAAGCATGAACTCATTTGTTCCTTGTCTTCTGGGATCACAGAGAAAGGTAATGGAAAGCTATCCAAGCTAGCTAGCAATTAAAAGAGTGTCATTCTGGGAGCAAAGATACAGCATCGGTCGGCTAAACTTTGTCTGACTGTTTTATAGGTTTTAAGGCTCCTTATTTACTAATAATCAGAATGACACTTCGGACTCTAATTATTTCAGAACACAAGTGCAAGCCTAGCCTGATTTCTAGGCAAAGCTGGCACAGTATAACTTATTCCAGTGGAGTTCACCTTCCTGAAACAATAGTTAATGCCTCTAAGTTAAAGAGAGATAAACAAGTGGGTTAGTACAGCATGAAGTCCTCAAAGAAGAGCTATAGTTTAACATTTGGAGCTCCGTCAAGAGAGTAAATCTGCCAAGTGCTTTCCATCTTTGCACCTTCCCTTTTTAAATACTGTCATCAAACCAAAAACTCTATCTCTTCAGCTGCTCTTCTACTGGATTTACTATAAATTAAAGATGATTTATAGTAGTTTTCCAATTGATTAAGGTAGCATCAAGAGCAATCAGGTTTGCAGATTGCTAAGAAGTTACCAAGAAATGTAGGTGCTAGGTTGTGCTCCTGTTGTTGTATAAGTTATGGTAAGTCTTGAAGTTTCAGGCATGGGCTACAAATTCCTTCGTCTCCTAATACTTAAATTCATTCTCAGTCCTGCTTTTCTTTAACCTTTAAATGTTATACAGAAGGCTGCTTAGAGGCCAGAGAAACTGAGACAGCTCTAAGTCCAGCAAGAAGGGACACATAGGAATCGAGAAATAACTCCTTCTCCTCTTACCTCTCCCTGCTCCCATACCTTTTTCCCTTGCTTCATGCAACTGCTTATAGTTGCTACTACCCTTTCTCAATGTGGGCAGCAGAATCAACGTCACATGAATGGAGGGAAAGAAAAAGAAAGGCAGAAGAGAGGGCGGAATCCCCTAAACATGTTGCAGTGGCCTTATCGATTAGAAGCAACTGTGGACGTAATATACTTTAAAAGTCAAACCAACACACTTACAAAGCAACACTCCTATGATGGAAGACGTAAAAAACGGACTAAAACAACTGGGAAGTGAGCTCAGCATTAACATCACATAGGACTATTCATACTGTCTGGCATCGTTTCAGTATCTCCATCCGGGCTTATGACATGACGGCTAAATACACAGCTCGGCACGCCTACCTAGTACATGGATGCCTATGGGATCTTGCATTCCAAAAAAGCAGAAGTCTTCTGCAAAGTTTATGCTACAGTCATCAGTCCTAGAAGATCTAGGCAATGTGGATAACCTGATTACTCGTGGAACTGAGTGGCTTGGTCTGCAACTGCCACAGATCTGGCGTTCTTCACTTTACCGCAGTGAAGCGATATATTCACTGTCTGGGCAAAGGGAACTGACATCTTTGCTGTTCTGCATGGTCTGCCCACTGACTCAAAAAAATGACTGTAAAGGTCAGCTGTTCCGGCCTTAGCAGCTGTTCTGCCCTTAGCAATAAAGAGGAGGGTGTGTAGGAGTGGTGAAAAGGACAGGAAGAAAATGTAAATTGAGCAGTGCTTGCAACCATCTATCTTTGTAACAGACTGGGATTTTTTTCTGTATATCCAAAGAGCTCAGAGAAAAGTTTAGGTTTAATAGTCATTTATTTGATTCATGAAATACTGTATAATTACTGTCACCTGATTTATTTTTCTAACGGAACAGGAACACAAACTATCCTTTTTCTATTTCCAACTGGTTGAAAGTTGCTCATTGTATGGCTTTGTGCAGAATCAGAAGCTAAATTATCTGAATA